TAACCCTCCCTACCCCGAGTTATCCTGGGTGGCTAACCCTCCCTACCCTGGGTTATCCTGGGTGGCTAACCCTCCCTACCCCGGGTTATCCTGGGTGGCTAACCCTCCCTACCCCGGGTTATCCTGGGTGGCTAACCCTCCGAGTTAAAAATCCAAACAAAATGTTCAGGGGAAGCGAGCGACCTTCCAGCGCGTGTTGCAGCTGGCGTCCACAACCTTGGTGGCAGGTCTTGCAGAAGCTGTGTCAGCCCCGACAGTGTTGCTGTCCGTTGCTCAACTCAACCAGGAATTCTGGGAATGCTCTTGGGTGTTCGTCAGAAGCCCATGGTTTCCACATGTGACCTCAAGCAGGTCACTAGGGCACCTCAACCAGCCTATTTAGTCTAACAAGGTCTTAATATTGTCTTGTGGGCAGTCTGCCCCAGGCGGTCATACTATTTGTGTTGTTGAATAACACGAGTGTTGTGTCTCTCTTTCTGGGTGAATATGACATATATGCAACACCTGTGTGAGTTTATTGTGGGGGTGTTTCACCAACTAGTGACTTTATCAGTCGTGTAGATACATGAAGTACTTTGAGGGGATCAGTCCCTCAGCCTTGTTTTAGGGACTGACAAGTGCTGCACATGTGTCTTATTCACCACTTATAAGTTGTTTTTTTTAAATTAATCTATAAAATATGTTTCTGATGGCTTTGTTCACCTTTGGTCACCTTTGGTCACCTTTGTTGGTGCAAGTGAGGCTCTTCATCCAAGATGTTGGAACCACTCTTCACTTCCTGAATAAAACCTAAGATCCTCAGGATGACTGGCACTGACCAGCGAGGTGGGTGACTGGCACTGACCAGCGAGGTGGATGACTGGCACTGACCAGCGAGGTGGGTGACTGGCACTGACCAGCGAGGCGGGTGACTGGCACTGACCAGCGAGGCGGGTGACTGGCACTGACCAGCGAGGCGGGTGACTGGCACTGACCAGCGAGGTGTGTGGATGAGTTAGGGGTGCATACAACATGACCCTGACTCAGTGTCATCCACGCTGACGGTGTGCTGGCACTGGTGTTATCAAAGCGCTGAGACAGCATCCACCTTGTGTGTCCCAGCACTTCGAGGACACTAGCATGCTAGGTGAGCTAGGATGCCCTAGCAACAACACACTCACTACCTAGCTACACCTTACTGTACCTTCTTCCAGTTTGTCTAGCCTTCAAAACCAGTGCCGGGAGCTACAACACGGTGCCAACACTTCCCTGACAGTACCACGAGCTACAGACACAGTGCCAACACTTCCCTGACAGTGACACGAGCTACAGACACCGTGCCAACACTTCCCTGACAGTACCACGAGCTACAGACACAGTGCCAACACTTCCCTGACAGTGCCACGAGCTACAGACACCGTGCCAACACTTCCCTGACAGTGCCGCGAGCTACAGACATAGTGCCAACACTTCCCGGACAGTGCCATAAGCTACAAACCCAGTACAAACACTTCTCTGACAGTGCCAGAGGCTACACAACACAGTGCCAATACTTCTCTGATAATGCTAACACTTCTCTGCCAGTGCCAACACTTCTCTGACAGTGCCATGACCTACAAGACAGTACCAACACTCATCTTACAGTGATATGGTTACAGATGTCACTGCCTTTATGGTGATACAATGTTACAGAATAATATATGGTAAGAGAGGCAGGGGTAGCAAGTATCTCTTGCCATACCACCTATAACACTGCGTTATCGCCTATAACACTGCGTTATCACCTATATCACTGCGTTATCACCTATAACACTGCGTTATCGCCTATAACACTGCGTTATCGCCTATAACACTGCGTTATCACCTATAACACTGCGTTATTGCCTATAACACTGCGTTATCACCTATAACACTGCGTTATCGCCTATAACACTGCGTTATCACCTATAACACTGCGTTATCACCTATAACACTGCGTTATCACCTATAACACTGCGTTATCGCCTATAACACTGCGTTATCACCTATAACACTGCGTTATCACCTATAACACTGCGTTATTGCCTATAACACTGCGTTATCACCTATAACACTGCGTTATCACCTATATAACACTGCGTTATCGCCTATAACACTGCGTTATCACCTATAACACTGCGTTATCACCTATAACACTGCGTTATCGCCTATAACACTGCGTTATCGCCTATAACACTGCGTTATCGCCTATAACACTGCGTTATCACCTATAACACTGCGTATACGCCTATAACACTGCGTTATCACCCATAACACTGCGTTATCACCTATAACACTGCGTTATCACCTATAACACTGCGTTATCGCCTATAACACTGCGTTATTGCCTATAACACTGCGTTATCGCCTATAACACTGCGTTATCACCTATAACACTGCGTTATCACCTATATCACTGCGTTATCACCTATAACTCTGCGTTAACACCTATAACACTGCGTTATCACCTATAACACTGCGTTATCACCTATAACACTGCGTTATCACCTATAACACTGCGTTATCACCTATAACACTGCATTATCACCTATAACACTGCGTTATCACCTATAACACTGCGTTATCGCCTATAACACTGCGTTATCACCTATAACACTGCGTTATCACCTATAACACTGCGTTATCACCTATAACACTGCGTTATCACCTATAACACTGCCTTATCACCTATAACACTGCGTTATTGCCTATAACACTGCGTTATCACCTATAACACTGCGTTATTGCCTATAACACTGCGTTATCGCCTATAACACTGCGTTATCACCTATAACACTGCGTTATCACCTATAACACTGCGTTATCACCTATAACACTGCGTTATCACCTATAACACTGCGTTATCGCCTATAACACTGCGTTATCACCTATAACACTGCGTTATCACCTATAACACTGCGTTATCACCTATAACACTGCGTTATCACCTATAACACTGCGTTATCACCTATAACACTGCGTTATCACCTATAACACTGCGTTATCACCTATAACACTGCGTTATCACCTATAACACTGCGTTATCACCTATAACACTGCGTTATCACCTATAACACTGCGTTATCGCCTATAACACTGCGTTTACACCTATAACACTGCGTTATCACCTATATCACTGCGTTATCACCTATAACTCTGCGTTATCACCTATAACACTGCGTTATCACCTATAACACTGCGTTATCACCTATAACACTGCGTTATCACCTATAACACTGCGTTATCACCTATAACACTGCATTATCACCTATAACACTGCGTTATCACCTATAACACTGCGTTTATCGCCTATAACACTGCGTTATCACCTATAACACTGCGTTATCACCTATAACACTGCGTTATCACCTATAACACTGCGTTATCACCTATAACACTGCGTTATCACCTATAACACTGCGTTATCACCTATAACACTGCGTTATTGCCTATAAACACTGCGTTATCACCTATAACACTGCGTTATTGCCTATAACACTGCGTTATCGCCTATAACACTGCGTTATCACCTATAACACTGCGTTATCACCTATAACACTGCGTTATCACCTATAACACTGCGTTATCACCTATAACACTGCGTTATCGCCTATAACACTGCGTTATCACCTATAACACTGCGTTATCACCTATAACACTGCGTTATCACCTATAACACTGCGTTATCACCTATAACACTGCGTTATCACCTATAACACTGCGTTATCACCTATAACACTGCGTTATCACCTATAACACTGCGTTATCACCTATAACACTGCGTTATCACCTATAACACTGCGTTATCGCCTATAACACTGCGTTATCACCTATAACACTGCGTTATCACCTATAACACTGCGTTATCACTATAACACTGCGTTATCACCTATAACACTGCGTTATCACCTATAACACTGCGTTATCACCTATAACACTGCATTATCACCTATAACACTGCGTTATCACCTATAACACTGCGTTATCACCTATAACACTGCGTTATCACCTATAACACTGCGTTATCGCCTATAACACTGCGTTATCGCCTATAACACTGCGTTATCACCTATAACACTGCGTTATCACCTATAACACTGCGTTATCACCTATAACACTGCGTTATCACCAATAACACTGCGTTATCACCTATAACACTGCGTTATCACCTATAACACTGCGTTATCACCTATATCACTGCGTTATCACCTATAACACTGCGTTATCACCTATAACACTGCGTTATCACCTATAACACTGCGTTATCACCTATAACACTGCGTTATCACCTATATCACTGCGTTATCGCCTATAACACTGCGTTATCACCTATAACACTGCGTTATCACCTATAACACTGCGTTATCACCTATAACACTGCGTTATCACCTATAGCCCTGCGTTATCACCTATATCACTGCGTTATCGCCTATATCACTGTGATATCACCTATATCACTGCCTTATCGCCTATAGCACTGCGTTATCACCTATATCACTGCGTTATCATCTATAGCACTGCGTTATCACCTATAACACTGCGTTATCGCCTATAGCACTGCGTTATCACCTATATCACTGCGTTATCACCTATAACACTGCGTTATCGCCTATAGCACTGCGTTATCACCTATAGCACTGCGTTATCACCTATAACACTGCGTTATCACCTATAACACTGCGTTATCACCTATAACACTGCGTTATCGCCTATAGCACTGCGTTATCACCTATATCACTGAGTTATCACCTATATCACTGCGTTATCACCTACTTTGAGGAAAGAATATTATGTACGGTACCGTGAACCTCTGTGTTCGAACAGGTGTTGCGGTCATGTGTCAAATTACAGGTGTTTGAGTGACAGGTGTTACCTCTGTGAGCTGTTGATGTTTGGCTGACAGGTGTTGTCTGTATAGTTTAAGTGATAGGTGTTGCTTGCGTGTACCATTGGTGTTTAGCTGACAGGTGTTGCGGGTGTCAATCATAAGTCTTGTGTTGCAGGTGTCAGGTGTCAGCCATGAGTGTGGTGTTACTGGTGTTGCTGTTACTGGCAGGAAGCCAGGCTGCTCCTTCTTTTGGTGTTCCTGGCCACCCCCAGAGCAGCGGTGGCTACCCCAGCAGCAGCAGGAACCCCAGCAACGACAGGTACCCCAGCAGCGACAGGTACCCCAGCAACGACAGGTACCCCAGCAGCGACAGGTACCCCAGCAACGACAGGTACCCCAGCAGCGACAGGTACCCCAGCAACGACAGGTACCCCAGCAGCGACAGGTACCCCAGCAACGACAGGTACCCCAGCAGCCACAGGTACCCCAGCAGCAACGACGACATGGGGCTGTCACAGTCACTGCTGGAAATAAACAACTACCTACCAGACAACTTTACTATTGTTGGTCGCTGTCTCATTACCATCCTCGCCCACCTCTGCAATGGTACCTACTACACTGCAGATGTAAACATAGGTGAGTACATCACAATGGTACCTACTACACTGCAGATGTAAACATAGGTGAGTACATCACAATGGTACCTACTACACTGCAGATGTAAACATAGGTGGGTACATTACAATGGTATCTACTACACTGCAGATGTAAACATAGGTGAGTATATTACAATGGTACCCAATACACTGTTTCAACAACAATATATCCTGTTCCACACATTTTCCAGCCAATATTACCCGGGAACAATGTGGGTTCTTAATAGGTTCAGTAATGTTCTTATGCTCAAGGTTCAAGGTTCTCTCCTGTTGCCTTCCTCTCCACGTTCCTGTTCTCCCATCATTTCTTCAATATCTTCCTGTTTCTGATTTCTTTTTATTACGTTTCTATTTTTTCCCAAAGTTGAACTTGTCCAGTTCTTGAGAAGTAGAGATGGATAATAGTGTAATTTGATACGTATTACTTGCAACATATGATATTTTAAGCAAATATTCTTAATTTTTTTTGGCAGCATATTATTAATCAGTGTGTAAATACACCTATATGTATGAATATCATCTCTCAGTCCACAGCAGGATTCGAACCTGCTGTGGGGCTGACCACCTCAAATACTATTACACTGTTGCCTCTGTATTTAACTGAACAAGCCTATGTAAGCGAAATGTCTCTGGTCAGTGCCATAACACTGCCCCTCCAAAGATGTATAATATCTCTGGTCAGTGCCACAACACTGCCACCCCTCCATAGGTGTATATTGTCTCTGGTCAGTGCCACAACACTTCCCCTCCCACTACACAGATGCCACCACAACCCCTGCAGGTGCAGTGTTGTTTGTGGCAGTAGCACAACAAGTACAGAAGTACACCATCCTGCCTTCTTTAACCGCTGCTATCTACCACTGCAGATCACGGCCCACGTACATTCCTATCCTCCACTGAAGATTACACCAGAGAGGAGTTCTCTTGCAAAGGAATAAACTGCAGGATAGACAAGCTGAGTGCCTACTGCAACAAGAGTATCCCGGCCATGAGCATGGATACCTGGGCTACTCACTCTTACCCACAGCAAGAGAAGGATACTGCTCTTGACTTTCACAATACTATCCCTGCCTGCGAGGGGACGTGTGTGTGTTTTTGAGTTTGGGGAGGTACAGTGTGTGGTTTAAAATTATTGAAAAAACTGGTTTTTGGGGAAATTTGGAATCGTTTTTTTTGTTTTTCCCGTTTTGAAAAAATGTGGTTTTTGGTAGTTAAAGTAAAGGTTTTTTTTCCCGTTGCCCCCCATTTTGGTTTATTTCTTAATCATTTTTTTTTTTATTAAAAGGGTCATTTTTTTAATTTAAAATTGGGTCCAGTTTTTAAATTTTAAATTAAAGGAATTTTTTATTATTGAAAACAAGGGGTTTTAAAGTTTTTTTTTTTGGGGGGTTTTTTTTTGGGAAAAATTATGTAGGGCATTTGGGGGGTTTTGTTTTTGGGGTGGAACATTTTGTTGTTATTTAATAACAGGGTTTGGAGTTGGTGGGGATAACGTGTGTTTTTTGTTGGTGTAAGGTAATTGTTTGTTTTATTTTGTGAAGGTCGGGTGTTTTTGTTTTGTGAGGGAAGGTCCCCATGTTTTTAGTTGATTAATCAAAAAAAAAAAAGGGGGTTTTTGAGGTGAAAAAGAAAGTGGGGGTTTTTGGAGTGTGAGGGTCCCTGGGTTTTTATTGAGGGGTTTGGGGGTTCATTGTGTGGTCATGTGTTTTTAGTTGAGTGGAGAGGTCAGGTGTGTGTTTTTAGTTGAGAGGTACGGTGTGTGTTATTTGAGTGTGAGGGGACAGTGTTGTTTTTATTGAGTTGAGAGGTCAGTGTGTGTGTTTTGGGTTAGTGTGAGATACAGGTGTGTGTTATGAGTGTGAGAGGTACGTGTGTGTGTTGTTGAGTTGGAGGACAGTGTGTGTTTTGGTTTGAGTGTGAAGGTAAAGTGTGGTGTTAGTTGGGTGTGAGAGGTACGTGTGTGGGGTAGTTGATGGAGAGGTAAGTGTGTGGTTTTTTAGTTGAGTGTGAGGTACAGTGTGTGTGTTATTTTGAGTGTGAGAGGACGTGTGTGTTTTTAGTGATTTGGAGGGGTAAGTGTGTGGGTTAGGGGAGTGTGAGAGGTACAGTGTTTTTGGTTTTATTTGAGTGTGGAGGACAGTGTGGGTTATTTGAGTTGAGAGGTAAGTTGTGTGTTGTTGAGGGGAAAGGGGGTCAGTGGTGTTATTTGGGTGTAGGGTACATTTGTGTGTGTTAGTTGAGTTGAGAGGTCAGTGTGTGTGTTTGTTGAGTGTGAGAGGTACAGTGTGTGTGTGTTATTTAGGTGAAGGTACAGTGTGTGTTTTTAGTTGAGTTGAGGGGTTTCAGTGTGTGTGGTTAGTTAGGTGAGAGGTACGTGTGTGTTGTTTTTAGTGTGAGAGGTAAGTGTTGTGTTTTTAGTTGGTGGAGGACAGTGTTTTTTATTAGTGGAGAGGTCAGGTGTGTGTTAGTTGAGGTGAGGGGGTACAGTTGTGTTTTAGGAGTGTGAGAGGTACATGTGTTTTTAGTTAGTGTGAGGGGACTGTGGTTTAGTTGAGTGTGAGGGGTACAGTGTGTGTGTTGTTAGGTGAGAGGACATTGTGGTGTTAGTGAGTGAGGGGTACAGTGGTGTGTTGTTGAGTGTGGGGGTACGGGGTGTGTGTGTGTTTGTTGGGGAGAGGTACAGTGTGTGTTTTAGTTGAGTGGAGAGGTACAGTTTGGGGTTAGTTGGTGTGGAGGCCAGGGGTGTTTTTAGTTGAGTGTGAGAGGTACAGTGTGTGTTTTAGTTGAGGTGAGAGGCAGTGTGTGTTTGTTGAGTGTGGGGACAGTGTGTGTGTTAGTAGTGGAGAGGTACAGTGTGTGTTTATTTGAGTGTGAGAGGTACGGGTTGTGTTTAGTTGAGTGTGAGAGGTACAGTGTGTTGTTGTTGAGTGGGGGTACAGTGTGTGTGTTTAGTTGATTGAAGGGGTACAGGGTGTGGGGTTGTTTCGGTGTGAGGGGTCAGTGTGTGTGTTGTTGGTGTGAGGGTCAGTTTTGTGTTATGAGTGTGAGAGGTACATGTGTGGGTTATTTGAGTGTGAGAGGTACATGTGTGTGTTAGTGAGGTGAGAGGTACAGTGGTTGTGTTTTTGAGTGTGAGAGGACAGTGTGGTTTTAGTTAGTGTGAGGGGTACAGGTGTGTGTGGTTATTGAGTGTGAGAGGTACAGTGTGGGGTGTGTTAGTTAGTGTGGAGGAAGTGTGTGTGTTTTGTTGGTGTGGGGTACAGTGGTTGTGGGGTTTAGTTGAGTGTGAGGGTACAGTGTGTGTTTTTGTTAGTTTTTGGGGTAAGTGGTTGCGTTAGTTGAGTGTGAAAACAGTGGGGGGTTTAATTGAGTGTGAGGGCGGGTGGTTAGTTGTGTGGGGTACTGGTGGTTAGTTGAGGTGAGAGGTAAGTGTGTTGGGTGTGTGTTAGTTGAGGGGGTGAGGTAACAGTTTTTTGTGTTGTCAGGGTGTGAAAAGGTAACTGTGTGTGTGGGGTTGTTGAGTGTGAGATTTAAGTGTTGTGTGTTATTGGGGTGTGGAGGTAAGTTTTGTGTTGTTAGTTGGTGTGAGAGGTAAGTGTGTGTGTGTGTGTGTTTGGGTTAGTGTGAGAGGTACAGGTTGTGTTATTTGATGTGAGAGGAAGTGTGTGTGTGTGTTTGTTTGAGTGTGGAGGTACAGTGTTGTGTTATTATTAATCTGTTTTTATTATTTAGATTTTCAGGGTGTGTGTGGTTGGGGGGTTTTGGGGGATTTGTGGAGGGTACAGGTGTGTGTTGTTCAGTGGAGAGGTACAGTGTGTGTGTGCGTTTAGTTGGTGGGGAAAGGTACAGTGTGTGTGTTTTAATTGGTATGAGGGGTACGTGTGTGTGTTAGTTTGAGTGTGAGGGGTACAGGGGTGGTGTTAGTTGAGTGTGAGAGGTAATGGTGGTTAGTTGAGTGTGAGAGGTACAGTGTGTGTGTTAGTTCAGTGTGACGGAAGGTACAGTCGTGTGTGTGCGTTTAGTTGAGTGTGAGAGGTACAGTGTGGTGTGTTGTTGGAGTGTGAGGGTACAGTGTGTGTGTGTCTAGTTGAGTGTGAGAGGTACTGTGTGTGTGTTAGTTGAGTGTGAGACGGTTAAGCGTTGTGTGTGGTGTTAGTGAGTGGCATTTTCTGAGAGGCAAGTGTGTATGTTAGTTGAGTGTGAGAGGTACAGGTGTGTGTGTTAGCTTGAGTGGAGAGGTAAGTGTGTGATGTTGTTGAGATGGTGAGAGGTTACAGGTTGTGTGGTGTTAGTTCAGTTTGTGAGAGTACAGTGTGTGTGTGTGTTGAGTGTGAGAGTACAGTGTGTGTGTTTAGTTGAGTGTGAAGAGGTAACAGTGTGTGTGTTTGTTGAGTGTCGAAGATGGTACAGTGTGTGTGTTAGTTGAGTGTGAGAGGTACATGTGTGTGTGTTAGTTGAGTGTGAGAGGTACAGTGTGTGTGTTAGTTGAGTGTGAGAGTACAGTCAGTATGTGTTAGTTTGAGTGTGAGGGACACGTGTGTGTTGGTTAGTAGAGTGTGGAGGTTCAGTGTGTGTGTGATAGTTGAAGGTGAGAGGGGAGGGGTGTGGATACAGTGTGTGTGTTAGTTGAGTGTGAGAGGCAACACTCCCCAAATGTGATGTGTTAGTTGAGTGTGAGAGGTACAGTGTGTGTGTGTGTTAGTTGAGTGTGAGAGGTACAGTGTGTGTGTTAGTTGAGTGTGAGAGGTACAGTGTGTGTGTTAGTTGAGTGTGAGAGGTACAGTGTGTGTGTGTTAGTTGAGTGTGAGAGGTACAGTGTGTGTGTTAGTTGAGTGTGAGAGGTACAGTGTGTTGTTAGTTGAGTGTGGAGTGGTACAGTGTAGTGGTGTTAGCTTGAGTCCGCTGAGAGGTACAGTGTGTGTTGTGTGTGTTAGTTGTGTGTGAGAGGTTACAGTGTGTCTAGTGTAGTTCATGTGAGAGGTACAGTGTGTGTGTGCGTTAGTTGAGATGTGAGGAGGTACAGTGTGGAGTGTTAGTTGAGCTTTGGTGAGAGGTACAGTGTGTGTTGTTGTTAGTTGTGAGTGTGAGAAGGTACAGGTGTGTGTGTGGGTGTGTGTTAGTTGAGTAGTGATGAGCCAGTGAGGTGTGATTAGTTGAGTGTGAGAGGTAACAGTGGCTGTGTGTGTTAGTTGAGTGTGAGGGTTACAGTGTTGTGTGTTTGTTGAGCTGTGAGAGTACAGTTGTGTGTGTTAGTTTGAGTGTGAGAGGTACAGTGTGGGTGTGTTGTTAGTTGAGTGTGAGAGGGTTCTAGTGTGTGTGTTAGTTCAGTGTGTGAGGTACCAGTGTGTGTGTGCGTTTGATGGAGTGTGAGTAGAGTACAGTGTGAGTGTGTTAATTAGTATGAGTGGTACAGTGTTGCTGTTGTTAGTTGATGTGAGAGGTCAACAGTGTGTGTGTTAGTTGAGTGGTGTGAGGTAACAGTGTGTGTGTGTGTGTTTAGTTGAGTAGTGTGAGGTACAGTGTGTGTGTTATTTCAGTGTGAGAGGTACAGTGTGTGTGTGCTGTTAGTTGAGTGTGAGAGGTTACGAGATGTGTGTGTGTTAGTTGAGTGTGGAATGATGGGTACAGTGTGTGTGTGTTTGTTGGTGGTGAGAGGTACAGTGTGTGTGGTTAGTGAGTGAGAGAGGTACAGCTGTGTGTGTTATAGCTTGAGGTGTGAGAGGTACTGTGTGTGAGTGTATTGTGATGTGTGTGTTAGTTGTAGTGTGAGATGTACAGTGTTGTGTATTATGTGTGAGTGTCAGAAAGGTACAGTGTGTGTGTTAGTGTGAGTGTGTAGAGGGGTAGTGTGTGTGTTATTGAGTCGTGAGAGGTACCAGTGTGTGTGTTAGTTGAGGTGTGAGAGTACAGTGTGTGTGCTGCAGTTGAGTGTGAGAGGTAACAGTGTGTGTGTGTAAGAATTGAAGTGTGAGAGGTACAGTGTGTGTGTTAGTTGAGTGTGAGAGGCACAGTGTGTGTGTTAATTGAGTGTGAGAGGTACAGTGTGTGTGTGTTAGTTGAGTGTGAGAGGTACAGTGTGTGTGTTAGCTGTCTGTGTATGTGCTACCTGCTTGTGAGAGGTACAAGTGTGTGTGTATAAGCAAGTATGTTTATGAGTGTACAGGTGTACACAAGTGTCTTGGTATAAGCAGGTGATCTCTCTCCAATAGGCATAAGATGGACCTTGAGAAGCTGTCAATGGAAGGCGGAAGATCATGTAGGAAGAAGATCGAGTGTTTATGCGGGGATTGTTGCTTCACCAGGTCTAAGGTGAGTCCCCGTTGCTTCACCAGGTCTAAGGTGAGTCCCCGTTGCTTCACCAGGTCTAAGGTGAGTCCCCGTTGCTTCACCAGGTCTAAGGTGAGTCCCCGTTGCTTCACCAGGTCTAAGGTGAGTCCCCGTTGCTTCACCAGGTCTAAGGTGAGTCCCCGTTTGCTTTCAACAGGTCTAAGGTGGTCCCCGTTGCTTCACCAGGTCAAAGGTGAGGTTCCACCGTCATTCACCAGGGTCTAAGGTTGAGGTCCACCGTTGCTTCATCAGGTGTCTAAGGGTAGAGTCACGTTGCCTTCCACCAGGTCTATCCGGTTGTGTCCCCTTGCTTCTCCACTGGTCTTTAAGGTGAGTCCCCGTTGTCCTTCCCCTGGCATCTAAGGTTGCTCTAGTCCTCCCGTTGTTTCCACCAGGTCATAGGTGAGTCCACGTTGCTTCACCAGGTCTAAGGGTTGAGTCCCCGTTTTGTTCACCACGGTCTAATGGTGACGGTTTTTCCCGCGTTGCTTCACCAGGTCTAAGGTGAGTCACGTTGCTGTAACCAGGTCTAAAGGTGGTTGAAGTCACGATGCTTCACCAGGTCTAGAGTGCTGAGTTCCACCCGAGTTCGTTCACCAGGTGTCTAAGGTGATCACCAAGAGTCGGTTTTCACGTTGATTCACAGGTCAAGGTGTTAGTCACCAGTTGCGTTCACACAGGGTTCTTTAACGCCCGTGGCTTCTCCAGGCTGCTAAGGGTTTGAGCTCACCGGTTGCTTCCCATGGGTCTAAGTGAGTCTCCCGGTTGCTTTCACCCAGGTCTAAGGTGACGCGTTCCCGTTGCTTCACAGGTCTAAGGTGCGGTCCCCCCGTTTTTCTTCACCAGGTCAGGTGAGTCCCCGTCGACTTCACCAGGTCTAAGGTGAGTCCCGTGCACACCAGGTCTAAGGTGGGTCCCCCGTTGCTTCTCAAGGTCTAAGGTGAGTCCCTCGTTGCATTCACCAGGTGTCAAAGGTGAGTCCCCGTTCCTTCACCAGGTATAAGGTGAGTCCGTTGCTTCTTCGGTCTAATGTGAGTTCACAGTTGCTCACATGTCTAAGGTGAGTCCCCTTGCTTCACCAGGTTCTTAAGGTGAGTCCCCGTTGCTTCACCCAGGTAAGGATGAGGTCCCGTTGTTTGCACCGGTCTAAGGGTGGAGTCCACGTTGCTTCACCAGGTCTAAGGTGAGTCCCCGTTGCTTCACCAGGTCTAAGGTGAGTCCCCGTTGCTTCACCAGGTCTAAGGTGAGTCACCGTTGCTTCACCAGGTCTAAGTGCAGTCCACCCGTTGCGTCACCAGGTCTAAGGTGAGTCACCGTTGCTTCACCAGGTCTAAGGTGAGTCACCGTTGCTTCACCAGGTCAAAGGTGAGTCACCGTTGCTTCACCAGGTCTAGGTGAGTCCCGTTGCTTACACAGGTCTACAGGTGAGTCACCGTTGCTTCACCAGGTCTAAGGTGAGTCACCGTTGCTTCACCAGGTCTAAGGTGAGTCACCGTTGCTTCACCAGGTCTAAGGTGAGTCACCGTTGCTTCACCAGGTCAAAGGTCAGTTCTATGTTGACCTCACATGATACATGATGTCTTAATATTTACTCTATATGTGTTTTAAATTACTGATCTGAGAGAGGTATCCCTGGATGTCACGAACCTTACCTCCTGCACCTCACTGATCAGGGGTATCCCTGGATGTCACGAACCTAACCTCCTGCACCTCACTGATCAGGGGTATCCCTGGATGTCACGAACCTAACCTCCTGCACCTCACTGATCAGGGGTATCCCTGGATGTCACAAACCTAACCTCCTGCACCTCACTGATCAGGGGTATCCCTGGATGTCACGAACCATAACCTCCTGCACGCCTCACTGTTCAGGCGGTTCATCCCTGGATGTCCACAAACCTAACCTCCTGCGTGAACCTCACTGATAGGGGTTGGTATCCCTGGATGTCACAAAACTAACCTTCCTTCACCTCACTGATCATGGGTATCCTGGAAGTCCCAAAACCTTAACTCCTGCAACCTCCACTGATCAGGGGTATCCTGGGATGTCACTAACCTAACCTCACTGCACCTCACTGTATCAGGGGTATCCTGGAGTCGCACAAATCCTAACCTCCTGCACCTCACTGATCAGGGGTATCCCTGGATGTCACAAACCAAACCTCACGGCACCTAACTGACTCAGCGGGTATCCCTGGGATGTCACAAAACCTAACTCCTGACCTCACTGATCAGGGGTATCCCTGGATGTCACAAACCTAACCACCTGCACCTCACTGATTCAGGGGTATTCCTGGATGTCACAGACCTAACCTCCTGACCTCACTGATCAGGGGCTATCCCTGGATGTCACAAACCTAACTCCTGCACCTCACTGATCAGGGGTATTCCTGATGTCAAAACCTAACCTCCTGCACCTACTGATCAGGGGTATCCCTGGATGTCACAAACCTAACCTCCTGCACCTCACTGATCAGGGTATCCCTGGATGTCACAAACCTAACCTCCTGCACCTCACTGATCAGGGGTATCCCTGGATGTCACAAACCTAACCTCCTGCACCTCACTGATCAGGGGTATCCCTGGATGTCACAAACCTAACCTCCTGCACCTCACTGATCAGGGGTATTCCTGGATGTCACAAACCTAACCTCCTGCACCTCACTGATCAGGGGTATCCCTGGATGTCACAACCCCAGCCTCCTGCACCTCACTGATCTCTCTCCTGAACTAACAGATTCATCTCGCACAGGATGAGGTACTGAAGGTGATGCTGGGCAGGACGTACAACCAGCTGGTAGACAGAACTACCAAGTTAGGCAGACAGGTAAGACACACCAACACTGTGTATCCCTGTATACCTTACTGTGTATCCCTGTATACCTTACTGTGTATCCCTGTATACCTTACTGTGTATCCCTGTATACCTTACTGTGTATCCCTGTATACCTTACTGTGTATCCCTGTATACCTTACTGTGTATCCCTGTATACCTTACTGTGTATCCCTGTATACCTTACTGTGTATCCCTGTATACCTTACTGTGTATCCCTGTATACCTTACTGTGTATCCCTGTATACCTTACTGTGTATCCCTGTATACCTTACTGTGTATCCCTGTATACCTTACTGTGTATCCCTGTATACCTTACTGTGTATCCCTGTATACCTTACTGTGTATCCCTGTATACCTTACTGTGTATCCCTGTATACCTTACTGTGTATCCCTGTATACCTTACTGTGTATCCCTGTATACCTTACTGTCTTTATAACATTGATGAAATAAGTTCATGTATAAGCATATAATTATCATTCTTACACTATTCTTCTTCTTCTTCTTCTTATTATTATTATTATTATTATTATTATTATTATTATTATTGTGTTTCAGAGAGGGAAGTTCCGGCGTGTGCAAGCCGTTCATCTTAGTCAACTACCCAGGAACTATCCTATAGCTCTAAACCCTAGGTGTATGTACTATCCTTGCTAGGACGCACCTCTGAGGGTACTATTCCTGCTAAGACGTACCTCTGAGGGTAGTATCCCTGCTAGAACGCACCTCTGAGGGTACTATTCCTGCTAAGACGCACCTCTGAGGGTACTGTTCCTGCTAAGACGCACCTCTGAGGGTACTATCCATGCTAGAACGCACCTCTGAGGGTACTATCCCTGCTAGAACGCACCTCTGAGGGTACTATTCCTGCTAGGACGCACCTCTGAGGGTACTATTCCTGCTAAGACGCACCTCTGAGGGTACTGTTCCTGCTAAGACGCACCTCTGAGGGTACTATCCATGCTAGAACGCACCTCTGAGGGTACTATCCCTGCTAGAACGCACCTCTGAGGGTACTATTCCTGCTAGGACGCACCTCTGAGGGTACTATCCCTACTAGGACGTATCTCTGAGGGTACTAACCTGCCAGAATACACCTGAGGGCACTATCCCTGCTAGAACGCACCTCTGAGGGTACTGTTCCCGCTAGAACACAACCTGAGGATACTATCCCTAACACACTCTGGGGGTACTACTCCTGCTAGAACGCATCTCTGAGGGTACTATCTCTGCTAGATTGCACTATGAGGGAAACTATCCCTGCTAGAACACACACTGAGGGTACTACCCCTGATAGAACACACACTGAGGGTACTACCCCTGCTAGAACACACACTGAGGGTACTATCCTTGCTAGAACACACACTGAGGGTACTATCCCTGCTAGTACGTTACTAGTTCTCCCGAGTATTCAGGATACGACATGTGGCTGCCTACTCAGTAGTCGATAGTCACCAACTAGCAACTAGTCTGCTGAACACAGATGTACTACTGTCGCATCCTTAAAATTAGTGCGTCCAGGAGACGTTGTCGCGTGAATGGTTAGATTTATTCGTTATGGAGGCGAGAAACAGTAGTTCCGTTATTACTGTGTGTGAAAGGCGCATTTGAACGTTCGTACTGTTGGTGTTGGTATTCTGCACAGCTCAGCTGGATACCTCCACTGATGTGAGGTTACACCTCCAGGGTGAGGTCACACCTCCAGGGTGAGGTCACACCTCCAGGGTGAGGTTACACCTCCAGGGTGAGGTTACACCTCCAGGGTGAGGTTACACCTCCAGGGTGAGGTTACACCTCCAGGGTGAGGTTACACCTCCAGGGTGAGGTTACACCTCCAGGGTGAGGTCACACCTCCAGGGTGAGGTTACACCTCCAGGGTGAGGTTACACCTCCAGGGTGAGGTTACACCTCCAGGGTGAGGTTACACCTCCAGGGTGAGGTTACACCTCCAGGGTGAGGTTACACCTCCAGGGTGAGGTTACACCTCCAGGGTGAGGTTACACCCCAGGGTGAGGTTACACCTCCAGGGTGAGGTTACACCTCCAGGGTGAGGTTACACCTCCAGGGTGAGGTTACACCTCCAGGGTGAGGTTACACCTCCAGGGTGAGGTTACACCTCCAGAGAGATATACACACCTCTCAGTGTATCTCACTTTCTTTATAAAGTCTTAAAAGTCTGTTTATAAATTACAAGTTTACATTTCCAAATTCAATATTAGACTTTCCAATATAATAAACTGAATTTTGAAAAAATACTCTTTTTCAATATTTTTGTCGAAATTTCTGCCCTCCACTTTCTCATTATAACAAAATTAAAATTAAGAGTGTAATGAGAACGGTGCCATTTGCCAGCCAACACAGCCTACTTGTCAGCTACGAGTGTCTATATTAATAACCTTCTATCATGTCCAGAAATGCACATAATATAATTTTGTCAATATATTTAAGTGAATAGACGAGGCTGTTACCTTTATATTGTATAACTAGACGAGGCTGTTACCTTTATATTGTATAACTAGACGAGGCTGTTACCTTTATATTGTATTATTCTAACTTCATTTAAAGCTGCGGAGTTTCATGTCCTGGAGCAACAGTGTACCACACCCAGGTACAATTGTATGGTATATTACAAGTGTACCACACCCAGGTACAATTGTATGGTATATTACAAGTGTACCACACCCAGGTACATCAGTCTGGTGTATAACAAGTGTACCACACCCAGGTACACCAGTCTGGTGTATAACAAGTGTACCACACCCAGGTACACCAGCCTGGTGTATAACAAGTGTACCACACCCAGGTACATCAGTCTGGTGTATAACAAGTGTACCACACCCAGGTACACCAGTCTGGTGTATAACAAGTGTACCACACCCAGGTACACCAGCCTGGTGTATAACAAGTGTACCACACCCAGGTACACCAGCCTGGTGTATAACAAGTGTACCACACCCAGGTACATCAGTCTGGTGTATAACAAGTGTACCACACCCAGGTACACCAGTCTGGTGTATAACAAGTGTACCACACCCAGGTACACCAGTCTGGTGTATAACAAGTGTACCACACCCAGGTGCACCAGTCTGGTGTATAACAAGTGTACCACACCCAGGTGCACCAGTCTGGTGTATAACAAGTGTACCACACCCAGGTGCACCAGTCTGGTGTATAACAAGTGTACCACACCCAGTGAGAACCTCACAGGTCAAGAGAGTCGCTTCTTACAGTCTCATAGCTAACACTGCTTCTCCAGAAAATGTCTTTTTTACTCGGAAAAAACATAACCCCTACATCTACAGTGTCGAAATGCTTATTATTAATAAAAATTAATATTTAGAATCGGACTCGCCATAGCAAACAGCCGCCTGGAGGTCACCTTCAAGGAGCCTAATACAGACCAGAGACCAAATCTGATCAAATGGGCTGGGGTTAAAACAGTTAGGCACCATTTAAGCCCAAACTATTTTATGCATAATGTGTTATAAGGCGACAAGTTAATGTGTGTGCTATTCTAGAATTTTTGATAAAATAAAAAAAAAAATCTCCTGGGTTCTATCATGAATTCTGTAGTCGATCAGATGTACAAAGGAAATCTAGTCTTAATTTTTAAGGTCACTTCTGTACAGAGAATAGACATTGAGCGTATGTGTTATGTCGAATATGTGGCTACATGGGAGGTAATATGTTGTGTTGAAATATGTGGCCATGATGCTGGAGGATGATGGACGTTTTGAAAGTACTGATCACGACCAATGTAACTTTCATCTGATCACCACCAGTGTAACTAATAATTCACTGTTGATCAATGATCGCCCTGTGTGATTATGTCGTTACAATTATTATAATCATAACTAAGTGCTAAACCCACAAGGGTCATATAGCTATATCTTTATTAGACTTGTCACAAGAACCAGTGTAATCATTTACTTTCTCATTTTACTTCGTTAAACCCATCAAAACATTGTCTACTAAGCCTTTATTTCCAAAATTTTATTGTATCCTGCTATACTTTAAACTGAATTCAGCGTCACTTAATGTATTTTAGGCCTGAGTAAACTACTGATGAATGTTATTAATCACTAGAATCATCCACAGTGGTTTAAAAAAAAAATGTGTGGCTAGATCTCCACTGAGGCTAAGCTAGGATGCGAATATTTCGCCCAGTCATATGTACTCTTAACAGACCAATTTGTTCCGTTCGTGAATAGTGGCACGAAAGTAGGGAAGTTAACTTCGAGCACGGGACATGGACCTTAAGAGTGTACCAAGAGTCACCCTTCAGCATGGGCCACATAAGATGGGCCTATGAAAGTATACCAGGAAACATCTTTCAGCATGGACCACGGGATATGGTTCTACAAAAGTATACCAGGAGACATCTTTCAGCATGGACCACGGGACATGGTTCTACAAAAGTATACCAGGAGACATCTTTCAGCATGGACCACGGGACATGGTTCTACAAAAGTATACCAGGAAACATCTTTCAGCATGGACCACGGGACATGGTTCTACAAAAGTATACCAGGAAACATGGTTCGTCAAGGCTACACTAGAAGGCATCCTTCAGCACAGACCACACGCCTCTAAAATCCAAGGAGTCAGTTCTGAAGTATAACCTAGCGTAGAGTCACTTGTATCGGGCAGAGGCTATATACTTGAGTGGCCCATACGGGTTTAGCGATTGATATTGACTAGTATAGCGTATAGAGCCTCTTGCTCCCTTTGTTCATACACACTCAATGTACCTGTACAATTTTATTATCATTAAAACTCTCTAAAATTCATTCTTTGTTTATGTTTCCGTCTGGCGTAGCCTCGCCGCCATATTTGTTTACATGCGAAAATTCTTGAAATAAAGGAGAGAATCAGTTGGGTGATGCTGTGGATCTATCTGATGCTGTCAGACGATGTTGAGGATCTATCCGATGCTGTCAGACAATGCTGTGGATCTATCTGATGCTGTCAGACGATGTTGATGATCTATCCGATGCTGTCAGACAATGCTGGGATCTATCTGATGCTGTCAGACGATGTTGAGGATCTATCTGATACTGTCAGACGATGTTGAGGATCTATCTGATGCTGTCAGACGATGTTGAGGATCTATCTGATACTGTCAGACGATGTTGAGGATCTATCTGATACTGTCAGACGATGTTGAGGATCTATCTGATACTGTCAGACGATGTTGAAGATCTATCTGATACTGTCAGACGATGTTGAGGATCTATCTGATGCTGTCAGACGATGTTGAGGATCTATCTGATACTGTCAGACGATGTTGAGGATCTATCTGATACTGTCAGACGATGTTGAGGATCTATCTGATGCTGTCAGACAATACTAATATATCCGTGTTGTGAATGAGAGGTGCTATCAAAGCCTCGTCCTAAACAACGTCACCATTTTTTTCTGGGTGTAAATCTCATCAAAAAAACAAGCACGGCTGAATCAGCATCAACGGTGGAAATAGACATGATTGAAAAGGAAGAAGAAAAAGAAAAGTCTGAATTTAGAAATCTTCCCTTTACAAACCTGAAAAATAAAATGTTCAGCTGCCCATATCCGTCTTTTATTATTTTTTTTTTTAAATATTGTTGGATAGGGACAATTTTTTTTTAGATAATTTTGTTTGTAATTTGTTCTGTCCAGTCTGGCTTATGCAAATTTCTTTCAGATCTTTTTAAAAGCCGTTCCAAAGGGCACCTCGATGATTCCGAAGGGTTCTTGATCTGAGGAACTAGAGCTATCCTCCCTTCCATCTGTGGAAAATTTGTTATATTTTTCCTATAATTAGTAATATGTATGTGAAGTGTTAATATAATGTAAATATGAAAGTATCAATGGCAGTCACAAACTGGCAACCTACTGGTGAGGAAGCGAGTGAGTAATTCCAAGTGTGGGAAGGAAGGTTGTGATGGTCAGAGGCAGTGTTGGTGACGCAGGTGTGGAAAGTTGGCTGCTGGTCGTCTCGGCTCGTTTTTTTTTTTTTTTTGACCCCCCTGGGGGAGAGGTCATAAAAGGAAAAGTGAATGTGAGCGATTACGGCCCCGGTGGACTTCCTGAGAGGTGGATTTAGGTCTCTCCAGGAATTTGGAAATCGGCCGAATCTTCAAATGAAATTAACGAAGGTGTAATAGAAGGTGTATCGTCAGAAATTGATGAAGTTGACACCACATGTGATGTCCGCCTCCCAGGTATGTTAATTTATATTTATATAACATTACCCAGGCAAATTACTCAAGTCCAGTGATTGATATTACCGAATATTATGCCAGTAAGACTAACATAATATGGCAGTTTTACTGGCATAACTTAAGGTCCAGACGTGAGACGTGATGACCTGAGGTGGTCACGAAGGTGGGACATTATTGTAACCTGGTGACCTTAAAGTCCACATGACTCTGAGGTACATCAATATCAGTGTAAGCTGTTTGATGTACCAAAGATTCTTCCCAGTTATTGGGTGATATAATTCGGGAGATTGCTTGTAAAATTTACCCACACAATTCCTCATGAACAAGCTACAGAGTGATAGTGTTGGGTAGTTGTCCCGTAGCTCGATCGCTAGTGCACTCAGCTCACACACTGAAGTCCGGGGTTCGAATCTCCTCCGGTACGACTGGAAAACATTAGGGACGTGTTTCCATAAGACACCTGCTGTCCATGTTCACCAATTAGTGTAAAATGGGTACCTGGGTGTTAGTCGACTGGTGTGGGTCGCATCCTGGGACAAAACTGCCCTAATTTGCGGGAAATGCTCAGCATAACAAGCGGCTTTCTATTTAGTAGTATGTCATTGATGTCAGCTATGGTCTGTATATCTTGTACATGTACTTGTAGTAAATTATTATTATTATTATTATTACACAACATCCAGTGTCTGATGAATGAAGCAACAGAAAGGGAGGGGAATGATTTTCTATTTTTTAGCTAAAATACGTGTAAATTTTACCTTATCCCTAGTAATGACCCTCGTATTGTAGATAGTCGTAATGACCCTCGTATTGTAGATAGTCTTAATGACCCTCGTGTAGTAGATAGTCTTTTTAGTATGATAATAAGATGTTATCTTCATTATAGAATAATAAGAAAATATTATAACCTTTATATTATAATAATAAGGTAAAAGGACCCCAATGGAAATAAGTCACTCTGTCTGACTTTTTTGGGTTATCCTAGGTTCTCTACACATATGCTGCTATGTATGATAATTCTATGTAACTGTATTGTGTATACCTGAATAAATTTACTTACTTACTTACAGGTATCGAAGGTAGTAGAAAACTTACTGAAGTCACCCCTGAACTTTGATAAACATTCATTTTCTGTGAGTGTCCACACCCCCCCCCCCCCAACCTTGACTCCATGACTCGCCAAATCGTAATAACACAATTACCAACAAATCAGGGAACGGGTGGGAATTGAACCCATCCAAATGAACCCTAAAACTTACAAGTCATTGCGTTAACCACTGGGCCAGCTGGCTATAATAAGATTCATCCAGCTAGGTATATGTCTATACACCATAGGGAGGTTAGCACGGGCCACCACTGTGACCACAAATGCAGGCTTTTACAGATAAATAAAATCCACTGACTGAATTCAGCAGTTTGCTACGCACCAGAATTGTATTTTGGTTGTTTTGTTAATGGAAGGGGGGGAGAGGAGGGAGGTGGTTGAAAGCCTATCGACCACACCAGTGTTGCTAAAGGCTGGAAACTGTATAACTTCGTTATTACACTCAAGAATACTTTAATCTATAAAAATAAAGGAGTTACAGGTTAGGTAAGATTGGTCAAGAAACAAGAGTGTTTCCTGACTCCGGTCTTAGTCACATGATGACCCACAGCTGGAGCTTTTGGTCATCTGACTAAGGCCTTCCGCTGGCTTACCCCTCCACCCCCTTCAAAAATTATAGTCATAATTATAACTAAGGTGTTACAGCAAACTCTCCGTGTATGTACGCGGAGAGAAATACATCTCAGTGCATATAGCCAGGGCCGGATTAAGGAGGTTTTAGGGGCCACAGCCCAGGAGCCTCGTAGTACCTGTAGCCCAGGGACCTCACAGCACATGTAGCCCAGGGACCTCACAGCACATGTGGCCCAGGGACCTCACAGTACATGTAGCCCAGGGACCTCACAGCACATGTGGCCCAGGGACCTCACAGTACATGTAGCCCAGGGACCTCACAGCACATGTAGCCCAGGGACCTCACAGCACATGTGGCCCAGGGACCTCACAGTACATGTAGCCCAGGGACCTCACAGCACATGTGGCCCAGGGACCTCACAGTACATGTAGCCCAGGGACCTCACAGCACATGTGGCCCAGGGACCTCACAGTACATGTAGCCCACAGTACATGTGGCCCAGGGACCTCACAGCACATGTGGCCCAGGGACCTCACAGTACATGTAGCCCAGGGACCTCACAGTACATGTGGCCCAGGGACCTCACAGCACATGTGGCCCAGGGACCTCACAGTACATGTGGCCCAGGGACCTCACAGTACATGTGGCCCAGGGACCTCACAGCACATGTAGCCCAGGGGCCTCACAGCACATGTAGCCCAGGGACATCACAGCACATGTAGCCCAGGGACCTCACAGCACATGTAGCCCAGGGACCTCACAGTACATGTAACCCAGGGACCTCACAGCACATGTGGCCCAGGGACCTCACAGCACATGTAGCCCAGGGACCTCACAGTACATGTAGCCCAGGGACCTCACAGTACATGTAGCCCAGGGACCTACAAAATCTTAATCCAACTCTGTGTATAGCCTGTGTATGTTACGTTTACTGAGCCGCAAACTGGAAAATGTATTACTCGATACAGCTGCAATCATTTATGTATTTTGTAGTGTGTGAGAATTATTGGAACAATGAAACTATACACAAAGACTGACCTCTTTTATTGATTCCATTTTTTTTTTTTGGTTGACCCCCAGGATCATGAGACGCCTTACAATAGACAAATAAAAACATGTGCACGATAGCCTGTGTACCCCCAGGAAGCAAGGTAACGTTTGCACGATAGCCTGTGTACCCCCAGGAAGCAAGGTAACGTTTTCACGATAGCCTGTGTACCCCCAGGAAGCAAGGTAACGCGTGCACGATAGCCTGTGTACCCCAGGAAGCAAGGTAACGCGTGCACGATAGCCTGTGTACCCCCAGGAAGCATGTCATGTTTTAATACAGTCTAGAGCCCTCTGGGAGTGGAGAGATACTGCAATACGCTATCTTCTCATGAAGCCGGTTTAAAAACCGCTATCTTCTCTTGAAGACGGCTTAAAAACCGCTATCTTCTTTTGAAAATGCTTAAAAACCGCTTTCTTCCGATAAAGACGGCTTAAAAAACCACTATCTTCAGTTGAAGATGGCTTCAAAAGCCGATGTCTTCTCTTTAAGCCGTGTCTTCAAGAGAGCGTTGTCTTGAAGAAGCGTATGTGCGTCTTGGAAGACAGACAACACGGTAAGACTCCACCGTTGTTGTACTCTACGGGGCGGCTCTTTGCTCACCACTACACGGAACACGCCTCTCGGTGTTTATAGCAATTTATATTTTCACTTTTCGACAAATCCCGGTGAATTAAAACCATTAGTCATACATCGTTTCATTTTTTTATTTTTTTTTTCCTCTATTTTAACCTGTTGTTAAATTGTTTGAGTTACACACGTAACGAAGCTTATTTAGTGGCGATAATTGAAGGTTAAGAAAAAGGCTAAAGGCTTTTGGAAATGTGAGGCTTTGAAAAAGGTTGAAGACTTTTGGAAAGGTAGATAAGGCTAAGGAAAAAGGCTTGAAGACTTTCTGAAAGGCAGGTAAGGCTTAAAAAAAAGTCTAAAGACCTTATTGGAAAGTCTGTCACTATGAATAAATACTGGAATTGAAATTAATACGTATGTACTGAATCCGATTTACTGAGAAAAACGTGCGAAGAAAAAGGGTGGTGGCAGAAGCATTGAGAGAAACATCGTGCGGCGTAGACATGTAGCAGTCAGTCGTGGCTGAAAATCTCCCATTGAACGGTAAATTTTCGAACTTATACATAAACACCGAAGTCTGATAACGCAGCACATTACAAACATAACACTCGTCTACATCGTTTATCGGACGGTTGGCCTGCAAAAAAAAAAAAATTATACAGTAATTGTGTATGCAGCTGTACTACAAATGAAGCAGTTGGACCCGCTTCGCTTTAGTGTTAGGAGACCCTTTGGAGGTACACTTTGCCTTGTGGTGACACTATCCAGTACCTGTGTATTCACTTACGATCCAAAATGTTGTTTTGGTTGTATTCTTGGTAATTTTCTTGAGAGCGAGTGTGATCTAGCGACGAGTGTTGAGGGTGGCTAGTGTGGGCACTTTAGAGTGCTGTCCCAGCCACACTACACCTCAGACACTGACATCTACACCCACCACTAGCCATTCGTAAGTCATAGCAGCAGTTTCGTTCTAGCAAGTCGCTTCAGATTATCGTTTGTGGGTGTAACGGTGTTGGTGTGGAACACAGCGTAGGGGCCGCCACAGCCCCTTGAGACCCCAGCCTGTGGGCTGTGGAGGCCCCTGGTGTGTGGGCTAGTGTGGGTAAGTTATGAGTCAGTGACGTAAGTGTCCCAGCCCACCAAGCTACATTACCTCCAGGGTTGGTCTTCCCCTCGTAGTGTTTCATTGTACACAGACAAGGCTCACACTACGAGAGTCATCGACGTACCCTCAAGTCAACGCAGCCAGCAACTCCGGTAATGCTAAAAAGAAGTGTCTCGCACGAGTTCTGGACTATGAGAAACGCCACGGCAGCAGACGGAGGCTCGCCGAATGACCTCACATGGTTATAACACCTACCATAGCAGTTCAACAATATTTTTAAAAGATATCCCAACTAAACCAGGGCGAGTGAGCTGTCCCAGAGCTCTACAAGAAACTCTCTAACACAACCCAAAATTGCTGCCCACAGCTCAACACGGGTCGCTGGACACCTTACAACGAACCTATATTTTTTTCGACGGTACTCACACGCTCTGCTCTGAGAGATCGTTTATTGTAACCAATTATTTACAGAATTACATAAATTGTCTCAGTGTGTATTACATGCGTTTTAAAATAACAAGAATGGCGGACATTGCGTCCTGACCACGTCTTATTTTTTTTTAAAAGTTAGTAGTGGTAGTAATTTTAACATTAAAGAGAATCTTAAATTAAAAAAAAAGAACATCTCTAAGACAGAGAGATACTAACAATGTCTATCACGATTATGAAAGTAGACATATTTGATTGAAGTTGGGAAAGGGAAGGAAGGAGGAGGGAGGGGAGTGATGGGGTAGAGCCCATCCCATCTACTGCTGTGATGGAGTGTAGCTCATCCCATCTACTGCTGCCTGACGGAGTGCGTCCCATCTACTGCTGTGTGACAGTTTCCTTCACTACCACCGTCTCTCCACTGGGCAGCTGCGTCGTCTGGCAGGTGACAAAGGTGCGATGTTTTGCGCGGATCATCGAAAGGTTGCTCTCAGCTGTCTCCGCGCGTTCTTCGGCAGCCTCCAGCTCGCGCTGGAACCTGCGCACGCGAGTCAGGTTGGTTGACGACACAGACTCCTGCAAAAAAAACGACCAACCACCCACGATTAACAACGTAAACATTGACTTGTATGTTTATATGGTACAGAATAATGATTATATGGTACAGAATGATGTTAATATACGTGGTACAGACGTGCTGAGGTACATTGAAGGTGTTGCGACAAAGGTCTTAGAGTAGAAGATACATTTCATTCTTATAAGACAGATATTGAAAGGGTATCTTGCACGAACCTGCTCGTTGAGCTGGCGCTTGTAGATGTTAATCTTCTCGTAGGTCTTGTCGAGGGTCTCCTGCAGGATCTGGATGTTCTTGTGGTCCTCCTCACACTGGAGCACCAGCTCCTTCACGTTGCGCTCCTTCTTCCTCAGGATCTTGATGGTCTCCTGGTGGCGGCGTTGTTCCTCGTCCAAGCTCAACTCCAAGTCATGTACCTATGTAAACACACAGAGTTCAGAGCTCGTAGTAATGATGTCTCGCTCGTGGCCTGGTAAGTGTGTGGAAGCTTGTAGGTGTGTTATGTCTAAGAGCTTCCATGTCTGTATAGCTTCGGGTAAATTTATCACATACCCTGGCCCTCCATGTAAATTAACCAACGACTAATCCCATGTATCTAAAATGCACTGTACCCCAGGTAAATTAAACGTGTAGTGGCTCCCATATAACTGAACCACGCACATTATTTCTCCCTATATGAATAAATGGTTTAGAAAACTGACAAGGTGATCAATTAAAGGCTTGGGCAACATTTGGTTATATTTATTCTGGAAACGTTTCGCCAGCCAGTGGCTTCTTCAAACCAGGCTGAAGGACTGATTACCTCAAACTCTTCCTCATCTTCCACCTTCCTCTGCATTGGACAGAAGCCGCCACTGGCTGGCGAAACGTTCCCAAAATAAAGATAACCAAATGCTGCACAAGTGTCTCATTTTATCATTATTTTTCCCTTTGTAACTTAACCACATAGTCTGTACCTCGTGTACCTCGTCCACCTACCCTTGCTTCGAGCTTAGACACCATCCTCTTGGTGCTGGCGAGGGCGTTGGCTTCAACGTTCTCGATGCGGATAGTGAGGTTCTTGACTTCGACCTCTAGAGACTTCTTGATGGACTCGATCTTGACGTAGCGCTCCTGTTCTTCGTGCAGCAGTTCGATGGTTCGCTTCAGCTCGATGGTCGTCTTGCTGAGTCTCTCCTCACTCAGCTACGGAGAGAAAGAGAATGCTAAGACCCAACCTTGTTTTTCTGACGACCAGCAGGGGACTGTAAAAATCTGAGCGCCTCTGGGGTCACAGGGGTATTGTAAGAGTCAGTTTGGAGAGTCAGAAAAGGCTTAGATTAAGACCAAACCTTTGTTTTTTTCGACGACCAGGAAGGGGGGGAGGGAACTCTGTAAGAATCTGAACCTCTCTGGGGCTACAAGGGTATTGCAAAAGTCAGTTTGGGGTTTACAAAAGGATTAGGATGGGTCTCTGGTAGGGTACCGTTACTCACCCTGAGTTCCTTGCTGATTTCGTCGTAGTCCCCAGCAATAACACACAGTTCCTGTTCCAGCTTGGCCTTGGCGTTGCTAATGTTGACATTGATAGTGGTAAGATCCTTGAGGCGTGCTGAAGCTTCCTCGTACTGCAGCTCAGCAGAGCGGCGAGCACGGATGGCCTGCCAACACAGTCTGGTCAGTCCAGATCATCTAGAGAAAATGTTTGCGCAGGGGGAGGCAAGTATTTCTGTATAGACATAGAGACGAGTGGCTATCTGTATGTAAACCCCGAAAGGTGTACATCTCTAGGTATATACAACGATGGGTGTGTATCCCTGTGTATATACACTGAAAAAATCACGTCTCTGAACATAGTGTATATACACTTAAAGTAGTGTATCTCCAGGTATATACATCGAGATGTTTATCTGCTTGTATCTGTGTATAAACACCGAGGACTGTACAACTATATATACACGGAGAGTTGTGTTATTTTGTACATATACCAGATGTATATCTGTGAATATATTATGACTTCAGAGTTGGTCAAGAAAGTCAAATTGCCTCGAAATCAATCTTTAAAACTTTCTTATACAATTGCAATTATCATAATTTACGATAATCTTTTTTGTGCACCAGAGTTAAATTAGGAACCTCAGTTAACCTTGTTAAAATTAACGGCAGAAAATATAGCTTGTTCTTAGTCAATTTAACACAGATATTTACAATGATTATTTAAAGTTATCTGGAAAAATAATTTGCAGTAACAAAACAAGATTGCAAGTTGATGATTGATGTTGGTTGTGGTTGATGTACTCACGGCATCAATGTTGGCTCTGGCTTCCTCGTACTCAGCAGTAAGTGACTGGATGCGACGCTGTGCAACACCGTACTGGTCCAGTGTCTGCTGCAGCTGGCGTTGCAACTCGTCGTAGTGCGCCTGCAACTCCTGCAACACAATGCATGTGCTAGTTTTGAAATGATTGTCCTGTCATAGTATTAGTGATCCCCTTTTAGTTATCTTCTTGTTATCCAGTACGAGGACACTGTGAGTTATCCAGTACGAGGACACTGTGAGTTATCCAGTACGAGGACACTGAGTTATCCAGTACGAGGACACTGAGTTATCCAGTACCTATTTACTGTTAAGTGAACATGGACAGCAGGTGTCTTAAGGAAACACGCTCCCAGTGTTTCCACCCATGCCAGGGATCGAACCACGGACCTCAGTGTGTGTGAGCTGAGTGTGCTACCAATCCAGCTATGGGTAACCTTTAACTGACACCTTGAGAGACAACAACAGCATCTACACTGACACTTTCTCCTACAGTTACATAAATCATCTGAAATTCCTCTTCCCCTTCCAAAAAAAAAAAAAAATGAATCCACTAGAGGCGGTGACAACATTGGTGAGACTTGCCTGGAGGGAGATGGCTTGCCTCTTGACGGTCTTCTGGAGGTCGATGTTGGACTTGTTGGTCGTGTCGAGACTCATCTCCAGTTCAGTGATGGTGACCTGCATCTTCTTCTTGATCTTGGTCACTTCGGACTTGAGTCGAGTCTCAGCTTCCACCACTCGGGCGTTCAGGTTGTCCACCTCGATGGCCATCTGCTTG